TAATTATCTGCAGCAAATTTTACTTGCATGTGTTATTAATGGTATTGTTCTATAATTAACACATTTGTCGGTTCACCTTTCTTTGCATTGGGCACAAATGTGGATTTCTTCTAGTCATTTGGCCAGGTAGCTATCTTCCAAATTTCTTGGCATAGATGTGTAAGTACCTCCAGTCCTGCAGCCATTTGTTGAAACATCTCAGTGGGTATTCTGTCAACTCCTGGAGTCTTTTTTTTTTTAACCAATTTCTTCAGTGTAGCTTGGATTTCTTCTTTCAATGCCATTGGTTCTTGATCATATGCTATCTCCTAAAATAGTTCAACATTGACCAATTCTTTCAGGTACAGTGACTGTGCATTCCTTCTATCTTCTTTTGATGCTTCCTGCATCATTCAATATTTTGCCCATAGAATCCTTCAATATTGGAACTCAAGGTTTGAATTTCTTCCTCAATTCTTTCAGCTTAAGAAATGCCAACAGTGTTTCTTCCTTTTTGGTTTTCTAACTACATGTCTTTGAATATTTCATTATAATACTTTAGTTTGTCTTCTTGAGCTGTCGTTTGAAATCTGTTCAGCTCTTTTATCTCATCATTTCTTTCATTCACTTTAAATACTCTTCATTTTAGAGCAAATTTCAGAGTCTCTTCTGATATCCATTTTGATCTTTTCCTTCTTTCCTTTTTTTAATGACCATTTGCTTTCTTCATGTGTGATGTTTTTAATGTCATCCACAACTTGTCTGTTTTTTGGTCATTGGTGCTCAATGCATCAAATCTGTTCTTCAGATGATCTCTGAATTCAGGTGAGACATGCTCAAGGTCATATTTTGGCTCTCATAAACTTGTTTTAATTTTCTTCAGCTTCAACTTGAACTTGTGTATGAACAACTTATGGTCTGTTCCACAGTCAGCTCTTGGTCTTGTATTGGCTGAACATATTGAGCTTTTCTATTGCCTCTTTTCACAGATGAAGTTAATCTGATTTCTGTGTGTTCCATCTGATGAGGTCTCCACATATAGCTGTTGTTTATGTTGTTAAAAAAAAAAAAAAAAGGTATTTGCAAGGAGTAAGTCATTGGTCTTGTAGAATTATATCATGTGCTCTCCAGTGTCATTTCTATCACCAAAGTCATACTTGCAAGTGAGCAATTCCTGATCTATTTCACAGTTCATGGCCTTGTTCTCACTGATGATATTGAGCATGCACATTGTTTCTTTCCACAGGTATAGTCAATTTGATTCCTCTGTATTCTATCTGGCAGATCTACTTGTATAGTCACTATTTATGTTTTTGAAAAAAAGGTATTTACAATGTATAAGTCAGTGATCTTGCAAAAATTTTATCATGTAATCTCTGGCATTGTTTCTATCACCAAGGCCATATTTTCCAGCCACTGATGCTTCTTCTTTGTTGCAAACTTTAATCATCAGTAACTTCAATGTCTTTTGATTGCATGTTTGATCAATTTCAAACTGAAAAAAATTGGTAAAAATATTCAATTATTTTATCTTTGTCATTTCTGGTTAGTATGTAAATTTGAATAATAGTCAAACAGGCCTTCCTTGAAGTGTATATTATCCTATCACTGTTAGTATTGTACTTCAGGAAATGTCTGAAAATGTCTTTTTGTGAGTGAATGGTATGCCATTACTCATCAATTTGGCATTCAGGGCAAATGATTAGCTAATTTAAAATGGTCAATACCAGTCCATTTCTGCTCAATAATGCCTAGGATATTGATCTTTATGTGTTCCATTTCATCTTTGATGACTTTCAATTTTCCTAGATGCATATGTCATACATTGCACATTCAGATTATTAATGGACATTTGCAAATATTTATTCTCATTTGGAGCCATGCCACATCAGCAAATGAAGGTTCAGAAAGCTTTACTACATTCCTGTGCTTTGAGGAGGTAGCTCAAACTTTGAGTGCCTTCCAACCCGAGGGGTTCATTTTCCAGCACCATATCAGACAATATTCCACTGCTATTCATAGGCTTTTACTGGCCTTTTTTTTTTTTTTTTTTTAGATCAGATCATCAGGTCCAGCTTCCTAGTCTGTTTTAGTCTGGAAGCGCCACTGAAGTCTATTCAACATGAAGCATCACAGGAACTTGCAAGCCACCACAGAATGATAAATTGACAGGCAAGTGTTGGGTTTTGAGTTTATGTGAGCTGATTCCAGCACACTACTGAAAAATCCCTACCAGGGTATAAGATGCATTCTATTGGAGAAAGAGAAGTAGCATACTAGCAAAATACATACTATGTTAGATGTTATAAGTGTTATAGAGAAAAAAAATGAAGAAGAAGAGTATGCAGTGTCGAGTAGGAAGGGACTATTTTAAATGGAATATTCAGAAAATACTTCCTTAAAATTGACATTTCATCAAAGCCCTGAAGATGGTGAAAGAGTGAGCCAAGTGGATAATAGAGGAAGAGCTTTCCAAGGGAGAAATCTCTAGGAAGCTAGATAAAGTCTTGGCCAGGTCATTATAAAGATCTTGTTTTTTGCCTTAAGTGAGATAGGAAGTTGTTGAAAGCTTTTTTTTTTTTTCTCTTGTTTTCTCTTTGTTGTTGTTTGTTTTTAGTCAAGAAGTGACATGGTCTAAATTATGTTTTACAAGGCCATTCTTGCCGAGATATAGTGGTGGGTAAATGTCAAAGCTATTGCACTAATTTTGGGCCAAATAATAATAAAAAAAGGTGACATACTAGCATAATAATAGCACGGATAGTGAAAAGTGGAAGATGCTACATACATGTGCCTAAAGATGAACACAAATATTATTCCAAGGAACTAAAAGAATATTCAGTTGGAGCAGACAATGAAAGGATATCAAGAATTGGGCTTCAACTATGTACAATTTGGTATACTTATTAACAGAGGTGTATCTAAGGTTTTTTGGTTTATCTAAGGTATTCAAAGAAGGAGCTCTGGTAGCATAGTGGCTAAGGCACTTGACTGCTAACCAGGAGGCTGGCGGTTCAAACCCACCAGCCACTCCTCGGAAGGAAGGTTGGGCAATCCTACTTCCATAGTGATAACTGCCTCGGAAACCCAAGAGGGGTCGCTATGAGTCGGGGCCAACTTGATGGCAAATAACAACAACAGCAAAGGTATTCAAACCCATCAGCCACTCCTCGAAAGGAAGATGGGGCAATCTACTTCCATAGTGATACTGCCTCAGAAACCCAAGGAGGGGTCGCTATGAGTCGGGTCTGACTTGACAGCACATAACAACAACAACAACAAGGTAGGTCGGTATGGCCCTAAGCGCCACTTGTAGGGGGGCACCACTGAGCAGTTTCTATTATCCACTGCAGTTTCCATCACCATCTGAGAGAGATCATTCCCCAAGTTAAGACTAATACTTTGGTATCTGAGAGCCCTTTCCTGCCTTCAGAGTTTTCTGTGTCACGTTGCCTCCTTCTCCTACCCTTCCTTCCTTTCCTCTTTGTCACCCATCTACACCTTTGTATCCCAAAGCACTGCCCTGCCCTGGATGTTCCAGTCTCCTGCTACCTAGGCCAAGGCCTCCCATTCATCCGCCCACTATTCCTCTGAAAAGATTCTACACATTAGGGACTATTTACTCCTAATTTAACCTTTCACTAAACTGGAAGGAGATGTTACCCCAGGTCACACTAGGGCCAAAACGTGGTGAGGATCTGTGAGAGTGGGTTTCTTAAACTATGATCTCTCTGCCATGAAAATGAATGATTAGATCCCCAAGGCAGAGTTTTGATCATTGACTAAATTGTCCAAGGTCCCTGATGATGCTAAATATTTCAGACGGTCATCAGATATTTGAGCAAGGGTGCAATTTCAGTGCTTGCATAGGCATTATCTTCCTTTAAACATGCCTCTGTCTATTAAACATCTAAATAGAGATGGGAACAGGAAGAATGAGCCAAGGTTTGGGGACTGGTTTGGGATGGAGATATAATTCTGGGAACTTTTAAGATATTCACGATTTTTTAAAGCATTTGAACTCAGTGGAAGCACCAGGAGACTGAGTGTAAATGTATTTATTTAACAAACACTTATGTAGTGTGTACTATGTTCTATCACTGTTTTGGGGTACTTTTTAAGTATTATTCATTTAATTCTCATAAGAATTCTAGGAAGTAGGTAATATTTTCTTTGTTACAAATCATAACAACAAGCTTTAGTTTTAAAAGAAACAGTTGCCACTGAGTCAATTCCAACTCATGGTGATGTCATGTGTACCAGAGCAGAGCTGTGCTCTGCAGGATTTTCAATGACTGATTTTTCAGAAGTAGATTTTCCAAGGCACTACTGGATAGACTTGAAGCTCTGACCTTTCCATTAGCAGTCCAGTGCATAAACTTTTTGTGTCACCCAATGACTCCAAGCTTTAGTTAGCACTTTTCTAAACATACCTACTGTATGTATAAGCACCCCAGGCGGTTCTTTTCTTAAGAATATAGTTTGTATGAATAAAAGAAAACTGATTCTAATTTGTTACATGCACATTTCCAATGACTATTGTTGCCTTTTTGCTGCTTGTTTTAGGTTAAATATACTTTTGTTTTCTGTCATTATTACTTAGCCTTTTAACTAACTACTGCTTAAAAATGGGCATCAGAAAACAAACTCAGCATTACGTGTAAGTTACCATATATGTACATGGGAGATACTCTGTTTAGAAGCTCATTGATCCTCATGATAAGAAATCCTAACAAAAGATTTCAGCTATTTTAATTAAGCCCCATGCTAAGGATTTGAAAAATACACTAAAGATGTTGAGTATAATGAAATCTAGTTAGAAATTATTTCAAATAGTGAATACTATATTTATACATGTTCAATAAAAATTCTCTTCATTCTGATTCTAACTTGCAGGAACTGAATAAGGAAAAACATTTATACTTCTAATGGTACCCTTAATATTACAAAACTACTAGCTTTGGTGTGAAATACATGCAAGATGAAATGGCAAAACAGAAATACAAGGGAATATACTGTACCTTGTTTTACCTGTAAGGAACACACACCTGACAAAAGGCAATTTTCACATCCAAGGTAGGTTCACTGCAGTAGTACAAGAAATGGAGGCTCATAAATACCTAGAGGAAGAAAAAAGGGGATATAAGTTTTCCAAATCATTTGATTATACATTATTTAATATTATGAATTTTAATATAATTTGAATCATACACAAGGTATCATGGACAAATTATATTCAGCATTTATCCAGATCAGTATGAGGAACTTGTCATAAATTATAAACATTAAATCAATAAAATAAGGTAAAAATGTCCAATCTCCTATGATCAACTCAACATCACAATCATAAAGATTAAATAAAATAAATTGGATATACTTAATGAGCTAAAAGTTAGCACATCATATTATGCAGCACTTTCGGTTCTAGGCATCTAATGGAAATAAAAATCTCAACTATATGCTCAAGAACATATATACAATGACAGTTATTGTAGAACAAAAGGACTAGATAGATAAAGTATAATTTATAGTAGAATTCAACAAGGTACTTGAAATAATTAGTTCAAATTTTTGTATCAGCAGAGATAAATTTTTCAAACATGATTTTGAGTGGATAAAAAACAACTTTCAAAGGGTATAGAGATTACAATATTACTAATGCACATTTTTAAAACATGCAAAAAGATAATACGCATTGGTTTTAAATGTATATAATCATATGCTTAAGAAAATTGGGCTTTTTCATGACCAGTGGCACATAAAGGCACATTTACATTTTTTCCTTTCTGGTGTCTTGGGATGTTAGTATCCCACATATGTTGTATATACTGGCAACTTGCAGAGACATATGCAACTGTTTATAACTAAAGAAGTGTTCAGTAGCACCAAATCACTGTTTAAAAGTTATTGTGTCCATCTAAGATGAATCTTATTGTTATCCCCTCATCTGGAGCAAGGAAGAGTGAAGAAAATGAAAGACCCATGAAAACAGTACAAAAGACTAACAGATCATAAGAACCTCAGCCTACATGACCCTGAGATCAGAGGAACTAGATGCTGCCTAGATACCAATGCCAACTGCTTGGAAAGGACCAGAATTGATTAAAAACAAGAACAACAAAAAGTTATAGTATGAGGTGGTGCATCCCAGAGTTATGATTGTGTAAAACTTTAGTCTCTTTTGGCTTTTAACTTGGGGTGAGCCTTATAAGCATATTTACAGATTGCTGGGTTTTTTTTTTTTTTTTTTTTGAAGTATATTTTTGGTGATGATGTAATTTTCGAGTGAATAACTTATTTTCAGGCACAACACATTATAATCACTTGTGGAATACTTGACATATTGTATGTACATTTCTTGTAATCTTCAAGTACTTCTTCTCTGGTTTATGAGCTGTAAGTAATTGTTTTGTGATAAAAAAATAATTGTACTAATAATTTTCCCATGGCACTCATCCCTTTTGTTTTCTTTGTGTTTTTTTAATATGAGATGCTTGAATCACATAATTTCCCCTCTTGTGTATTCTCAGATTTGTTTGGAAGTATGGAGTCGGTATTATCCTAGTTTTGCAAGATGTAGAATTCTTTTCTTCTGAAGCATTTACCTTTTTTTTAGAAATGGATACTTTAAAGAATGAAGAAAATCTAGATTATTTCTTTTCCTTACCCAAGAATGATGAGGAGCCTGGGGAAAAGTGTGACAAAGATAGCTTGATGAGCCTTCCTATCTTGCAGAATCTAAAGCTCAGTTTGATGGTAACAATGACACTGACATAATAAACAATGAAGAAGCAGTTGGTGTGGCAGAAGAAAGCTTGAACCAGATGATGATACCTGTGAGGAAAGTGAAGAAAATGAAGGCGAATAGTGTGAAGAAATCTCCTACTTTGAAAATAAAATGACCCTGCTTCAGTCAACGCAGGGACGCCAGAGTAGCAGGCTGGAAGAGCAGGGAAGGGGATAAAAGCCTTGAGCCCCAGGCTTACAGGTGAGGAGAGACAACGCAGGGACGCCAGAGTAGCAGGCCGGAACAGCAGGAGAAAGGGGATTAAAAGCCAGGAAGCCAGACAGAGGAACAG